GAGAAACAATGACTTGATCAGCCCTTGTCCTGTCGAGGAACAACTTAATACTTTATCCCATTTAGTACTTTTTTTTGTTCTACTTGATACTATTTGTTGAACTCTTTAATTAACACACAATTATTATTAGGTGTTTAAATCCATTTGAAAAGTGATCCCTGTTAAATATAAGAGTGGGAATAAGAGAGGGAGGAGATGTACAGTTTGGCACATGCTCAATTGGACTTGCCCCAAACAGTGGAGTTAGAAACATGCCAGAGTATTCCAATTCAATCCCATCAAGGTGGCATGTACCAATGCCATCTCACTAGTCCAAGTAATCAGTTTCAGTTCACAATTGATCATAATGATAGGATTGAGAGTCAAAGGGATCACATAAACAAGTCTAGTGTCTCCTAATACTAACTGATAGAATAAAAAAGGGAGAGAACGATCCAACATGGGAAGTGGGATACACAGCAGACTCATAGAATGGCAGATGTCCTGAACAGCACTCTGGCCTCAGAATCAACCTTAAGGCATGTGGATCTGGCTAAAAAGCCCATGAGAGTATTTCAGACATGGAAACTCAAGACACTGTGGCAAGATCTCTGTGATTGCCATCCCAGCAGAAAGAACAGGCCATCAAAGAAGGAGGTACCTTTCTCTGAAGGAAGGAGAGAACTTTCACTTTGACTATGACCTTTTCTAAATAAGATTGGAGTTGGCGAACTCAAAAGGCTTCCATAGCCTTGGCAACTCATGACAAGAGCCTTGGGTGATTACTGATGCCATAAACAAGAGTGTCAACTGTTAAATCAACAACAGGAATCACTGTGCACTTCCTGTGTAGGATCTCTGTTCAATGTGAATTAATGCTATAACCAGTACTCAAACAGTACTTTCTTTTTTTTTCTTTCCTTTTCTTTTTTTTTTTGACAGGCAGAGTGGACAGTGAGAGAGAGAGACAGAGAGAAAGGTCTTCCTTTGCCATTGGTTCACCCTCCAATGGCCGCCGCGGCTGGCGCGCTGCGGGCCGGCACAACGCGCTGAACCGATGGCAGGAGCCCGGTACTTATCCTGGTCTCCCATGGGGTGCAGGGCCCAAGCACTTGGGCCATCCTCCACTGCACTCCCTGGCCACAGCAGAGAGCTGGAGTGGGAAGAGGGGCAACCGGGACAGAATCCAGCGCTCCGACCGGGACTAGAACCCGGTGTGCCGGCGCTGCAAGGCGGAGGATTAGCCTAGTGAGTCGCGGCGCCGGCCAAACAGTACTTTCTACTTTGTGTTTCTGTGTGGGTACAAACTGTTGAAATCTTTACTTAGTATATACTAAATTGATCTTCTGTATATAAAGATAATTGAAAATGAATCCTTGTAAAGAAAAAGAAAATGAATCTTGATGTGAATGGGATGGGAGAGGGAGCGGGAGGTGGGAGGGTTTTGGGTGGAAGGGAGGTTATGGGGGGAAAATGCCACTGTAATCCATAAACTGTACTTTGGAAATTTGTATTTATTAAATAAAAGTTTAAAAAAAGAAAGCTAAAAAAAGAAAAAAAAGAAATAGTATAAGAATTGTTTTCAAACCAAATGAAAATTATTAAAAGTATAAAAATTTTCAGTCTCTTGCAAATCATCTTCCTCTTACAGAATTAAAATAAAATGTTCCTATGAAGGGCATGAATTTACTTCCAGACTTATAAATAATTCTTGAGCTTTAATTTATTGGTCAACATTTTCTTCCTGACTCTTGCTACTATAAAAACAGCTTTCCTTCTGCTCAAGCCAGAAATTTCAGAGTATTATGTAATTACAAGTGAAAGGATTGCCTTTAGGTTGGTTGATTTATTTGGTACTGTAACAAGTTTAAATTTATAATTTTCTTATGCCAACACCACTTAATCTCCTTTTCTTACAATATTTTTCTAAGCTTTCTATCTTCTTAGCACATATTAAGAGAAATGTGCTGAGAGCAGTCAGCTCTGCAATAATGTCACAGAAAGTTTCTAAAATCACATGGAAAAGACCTCTAGAGTGTGAAAATGGATTACGAACATAACAGGCCAAAGCATTGTCAGAGACATGTTTTTAAAAAATGATAACCAATAAAAACCGTTTTGTTCATGTTAATGGTTAAGAAATATACAAGTAATAAAATAAACATGAAACTTTCTCTGAAAAAGGCTTTTTATGAAGTGGCTGTTTAAAAGGTTGCAGCTGGTTAGCTATTGTGAAGGGAGGCTATCCAAAACTGACAGGAAGTTGTGACTCCAGAAGTGCATGGATTTGGTTTATAGCCTGCTTTGGGAATTGAGGCGCTGGTAGAGGTTTAAAACTTATTTGTGTGTGTATGTGCATGTTTTGTACTTTCCTATATGGCTTGGTAACTATAGGTGCAGTCTTCTACACTGACTTAATGTTTCTTGCAAATAATGTCACATATGAGCCAACATGCAATGTGTGTTGTGTTTAGTTACTCCCTAATATGTCCTTCAGCTAGAAAAAATTCTGGTTTTCAAAACAAATGCCACAGCAGAACTGATCCTATGTCATCATGATTCACCAAAAATTAACAGTGATTTTTATCCCTGTAACTCATTAAACATAACCTGGAAAGCTATTAAAAAGTATGAAAGCCTGGGCCCTACCAACCACAGAGATTCTGGTTCAATATTTTTGGTGTTGGTGGTGGGGGAACTCTCCTAGATGGCAGAACAAAGAAAAGGCAAAAAAAATTCTGGCCCAAGAAATTTAATTCAGATAGATACTTACTGATTTCTTACTGTATGATTCTACTTTGAGGGTTATAAATAGAGAAAATAAATTTTCTCGTATTAGTCTTTTGCTTGGGAACAAATGTTTACTCATTAAAAAATGATGCAACAAAATAATATGATCTTACACTAAATTGTTCTACAAGGGCTTGGTACGTTGAATGTACCAGAAAATTGAGAAATTAGTAGGACCAGGGGTGCATAGTGATATAATATGGGCTGGACCTAATGGCTGGCAAGGATTTGAACAGATATACATAGGTGTTAATTTTAGGCAGGGAGAAGCACATGAATGCTTCATAAAGGCAAGTGAGAATGAAAAAGCCACTCAAAGAGGTCTTGGAGAGAACAGACTAACCCGAGGTCACAAAGGGGAATCTGTCAGGCTACAGAGAGCCTAGATTGCCTGGTAAGGTGATTGGGCTTGATCGACTAGGTCTCAGTAAAGATAATAATAAGTGCTGTACTGCTTCCTATTTTGGAGGAGAAATGGTTGACCTTGCAAAAAATAGAGAGAGAAATGTGGAGGAGAAGCGGCTGTAGTGCAGGGGTATTTGCTGGGGGCTGCTCTGACTCCAGAATCTGGGCAGAGGTATCTCAGCTCTGAGCAACACAGCTTGTAGACCAACTGCACCCATGAATGTCTCCCTTCTGGTAATTGCCATCTTTGGACAGAAGTCAATAACTGAGCAATTGTGGATCCATTAGGACCCTTCAAGAAGAAATCTACTTGCACCTGGGTATTTTTGGCTAGGTGATATTTTATATATCATCCCGCCTCCTCTTATCCCATTCAGCCCATTGAGAAGTGTGGATGAAAGTCTGTATTACAAACAGAAAAGGCAGCATTTACTTGCTGTTTGCTTTCCCAATCTAGCTCTGCAAAATATAATGATCTTCCCAGGGTATTGGGAACTGGTTATCAAAGAGTTACAGGAGCACTGGGAAACATGCAGTTCATGAGATGAGTGGCACCATTAACAGAACAACCAGACAATGGGACTCATATCCTGCCAATGTCCCACAGCTTCTTCTGGCTGCTAAGATGTAAGAACCCTTGGCATAGGATATGATAAGCTGGAAAAGAAAATATTCCGTTGGTAAAACAAATAAAGACTGTTCACCTCATTAAATAGGAAGTGACCCAGCATGCAGAGGCAGCATCTTCTCCGCGATGTAAAGGGATTTTAAGACAGTGGATTGGACTTTTTATCTGACACACAAATGGGGTATAAAAGTCAGGGAGTGAAGACTGAGATCCAAGTCTTTGGGCCTGGGAAATTTTGGAGAGAGTAGGCGTGGATGGGAGCTTGGCTTTGTGTTGCCCTTTGTATATCAGCAGTGTGGGTTAACAGAATCCAGATTTCAGAGACCGACAGGTGTGTGTTTCAATTTTGTACTTGTACATTCTTAATGAGTGATTTGGGCAAATTATTTAGTCTCCCAGAGTGTACTGCATTGCTCATTCATAAAATGGCAATACAAAACTCATCTTATGGTATAATGGAGAGAAAAGAACATTATCTGTGAAATACTTGCTCCCTTTTCCCACACATGGAAGATGCTTGAGAGATGTTATTTCTCCTTCCCTGGCCCTCTATCTTCTGGGGATGGAGAGTGATAACATTGCTTTTCCTTTGGAGGTACCATTGGCTTTCTTCACCAAATTGGGTGATGGGGCCTGGTGACATGAAATTGAGGAACTGCAGCATAGGACTTTCATTAAGCTTGAGAGCAAGAGTTAGAGGAAGCCTCCACATATCCCAGTGGTCTAGCCTGATCATGGGATAGGAAGAAGCAGAGTTTCAGAGCAAGAGGATCTGCTTCAGGAATAAAAATTAAAATTGGTTTTGGAGTCTTGTGCATGACCATGAATCCTATGAAATTGTGGAGAAGGTAAATTCTGTTATTGAGTGATCTCAATCACTTTATTCCATATTCTAAGATAAGTTCCAGGAAATATTAGTGCTTTGGACTCTTTATACTAAAATTAATAACAGTACACAGAGGATTCTAGGGGGAGAGACATCTCTACAGACCCATTCAAGTAAAGAACATAAACCTTTGGGATAGGTCCCATGAGCTGTGCCTCAAGTCACTCAACAGCTCTTAGTTTCTCTATCTATAAAATGGTGTTAAAAGCATAGGCCATTTCCATCTGCTGTTAAGGGCTGAGCTTTGTTTCCCAGATAACCATATGTTGCTGTCCTTACCCTCAGTCCTTCAGAATGTGACTGTGATTGGAGATGGGGCCTCTAAAGGAGGCAATTAGTCAAAATGAGGCTGTTAGGGTAAGTGTGGCCTTATCCAGTGTGATGGGAATCACATGGGAGATTGGGAGAAAGACAAGCATGAAGGGAGGGTCGTATAAAGACACAGGGAGCAGGTAGCATTCTTTGAGCCAAGGAAAGAGGTTTCAGAATAAACCAACCCTGCCGCTTGCTCTTGGACTTCTTGAATCTAGATTTATGATAAAATAAGTTTCTGTTGTTTAGGCCACCCAGGCTATGGTCTCTTGTTACCACGGCAACCCAGGCAAATTAATGCACATGCTTAGAGATGTTTCTATATGAGTGAAATGCTTCATGAGTATGTGTATTTTTTAAGACAGAAAGCATTTTATAAAGACAAGGCATTACTATCATTAAAATCTTGTCTCTTCCCTGTACAAACAGCCTTTTTGTTTTCAGAATCACTAAAGGTTCTCTTTTCCTATTTAAAAAACATTATATGCCAACAATGGGGTAGATTCTATTTTAGTTAAATCTAATCCAAATATTTATTGAAGATTGCTGTTTGCCCAGAGCATCAGAGCAGCTCATGTGACGGACATAAAGACAAACAAGATGCAAATCCACACTGCAAAGAGTTTACTGTGAAAACTCTTTGGCTATTTATATTCTTTTTTTTTTTTAACAGGCAGAGTGGACAGTGAGAGAGAGAGACAGAGAGAAAGGTCTTCCTTTGCCATTGGTTCACCCTCTAATGGCCAGCGCGCTGCACTGATCTGATGGCAGGAGCCAGGTACTTATCCTGGTCTCCCATGGGGTGCAGAGCCCAAGCACTTGGGCCATCCTCCACTGCACTCCCTGGCCACAGCAGAGAGCTGGCCTGGAAGAGGGGCAACTGGGACAGAATCCGACGCCCTGACCGGGACTAGAACCCTGTGTGCCGGTGCTGCAAGGCGGAGGATTAGCCTAGTGAGCTGCGGCACCAGCCTGGCTATTTATATTCTTAAAGCAACCAGCTTGAAGACACCATTTCCAGTGGATGCAGTGATGCACTGCTGGGATCCTCCTTCCTGGCTCATGATGCCCATTCTCCCAGCTGCCAGGAGTGTTGCTGCCTCCAAGGACTCAAGGAGAATCCTTTTCACTAGAACATGCTGGGGTCAGCTTGCATCCAATGGCTGAATGATACTGAATATAAAGGCCTTGCTCAATCTGGAACATTTCTGAGGACCCACTCCACTCCAGGAACACCTGTGCACTCAGCCAAAATCACTACTTCAACTGCTTCCCAATTAAACAGCTCGCTCTGCCCTAGTTGGTGTCCCCCATATGTGTTCCCAGGAATATTTCTCAATATACTTCAGGCAAGCAAACCTCCCTATCAGAGTCTGTTTTTCAGGACATGTGACTAATGGCACCATTTATAGGATACTATTTTTATTAGTATACTAATTATATTCCTTGCTTAGACTAAGTGAAATAATTAATAGTCTGAATGTTCTACATGGTAGACTGAGGAGGAATGTTGGGGAACTTTTTCTGAGATTTGAGGATGTATTGTGCTCTATGGAAATAGGCCTTGCTTTAAAAATTTCTTAAAATTTATTTGAGAGAGAGAGAGAGAGCGAGCAAGAGAGCGAGTCAGAGCGTGAGTCAGAGCGCAAGACTCTTCTTATCCACTGGTTCTCAATGGCCACAGTTGGCATCAGGCTGGGCCAGAATTGAAGCTGGGTGCCTGAAACATAATCTGTTCCCCTCACATGAGTGGCAGGGACCCACGTATGTGAGTTATCATGTGCTGCCTCCTGGGGTCTGCATTGGTAAGGAGCTAGAATAAGAAGTTGGAGCTAGGAATGGAACCCAGGCACCCCGACATGGACTGCGGGCATCTTGACAGTAACTTAACCTCTTGGCCGAATGTCCATTTCACTCTCCTTCTTTTTGAATAACTCACATAGAAGCAAAAGGAATTCGTGATGCAAATATTTCAAGATACTCAGTTATTATTTGAGAATTGCCAATTAATGACTTTCCATAAGGCCGGTGTAGAGAGAAAGTGCAGCCCCTGATCTAGATTGTGATTGTCCAACCAGGGAACAGACAAATTAGTGCAAAAGCAGCCCCTGACCTAGCATTCTTGATTTTCTGAGTGATAATATGGTAAAATAAGGACAATCTCAGGCTCTAGAAACTGTTGTGAACTTTGAGAGTCTCTGGTGCTACCAGTCCTGTGACATGGGGAAAGTAATACCTTTTCTGTTCATCTGATTCCTCACCTCTCACTGTGGACAAAACACAGAGAAGGTTGCTTGCAATCAATACTGGACCTCCAATTCCTTGGTCAAATCTTGTCATCTGTTCACAAAGAACTACAGAGCGGATGCTTCAGCCACTTCTCCTTCTCATAAGAACTTCTATGCACAGTAATATTTTTATGGGGACATCAGTCTTGGTATACTTGACTCACTATGCACCTGGGTGATGTAAGGGCATCCTTTGTATTCCCAGCCTAAGGCCACATGTCCTTGGTTTCTTTTTTTTTCCAGGTCCTCAGTGTTTACAGAAAACTCAAAAGTGCTTCAAAAACAAGTGGGTATTTCTCTTTAGATCTTGACACAGTGACCTAAGCTGCAGGGACCAGGTTTCCTGTTGATGTTCCTACTGAAGCCTAGCAGAGTCACCACTGAATCAAGCTTTCTTTAGAGGATCTGCACATCATCCCTTGCCTTCCCCCTTCTTACTATTATGCTGATGCCTTTTACTCGTCAGCTCAGCCCCGCCCACTTCTGAACTAGCTCATTATGGAAGGTATGCTCAGAGTTTTTTTTTTTTTTTAAGATTTATTTATTTAGTTGAAAGAATTACACATAGAGAGAGAAGGAGAGGCAGAGGCAGAGAGAGAGAGAGAGATCTTCCATCCTCTGGTCCACTCCCCAGTTGGCTGCAATGGCTGGATCTGCGCCGATCAGAAGTAGGAGACAGGAGCTTCTTCTGGGTCCCCATGAGGGTGCAGGGGCCCGAGGACTTGGGCCATCCTCCACTTCTTTCCCAGTCCATAGCAGAGAGCTGGATCAGTGTTCTAAGCAGCCTCTTAACTGCTGCACCAAGTCCAACCCAAACTCATTGCTTTTTTTTATTTTTTGCCCTCTTGTAGTAACTGGGCTTCCACCTTTCTCCTGGAACCTACTTTCCACATTGCACCAGCACTAACAACAATCCTATGCCATGTATTGATACATTTTTTTGCTTTCAGTTCCACACAAACCTGGGTCTCCGCCTTGTTGCAATCTGTCTCCTTTACTCAGGGACTGTTTTCCAATCTCTCCCTGACCTTAGCCACTGTCTGCCCCCAAATGCCTTTACCACACACTGCTCATTTACCAGGAAACCCTGCTTGTCTCTCACACAAACTCCCATTTGCATGCTTACTTGAACTACCATCTATTTCCTATTATAGTATTTTAAAATATATTTACTGATCTATCATTTATTGGTCATCTATCTTAGGCTTGTAATTGTGAACAAAGCTCAGTCTCTGTGAATCTTGTAGTTTACTGAAAGAGAGCGACAATTAAACAGGAAATAATAGTAGGAGATAATGGCAAAATATATTATCTGTACTAGCCCATTTTATTTTCTTTCCTGTGAAACAGCGTTATCTCCACTTTAATAGAATTGTAAAGTCAGGCTCAAAAAGATTAAGTAGGTTGATCTCAGTCACATATACCAGGAGGGGTAGAGTTAGGTTTAGAATCTGATTTGGGGTGCAGGCATCCTAAACAGCATATTAACTGCTGCACTAAACATCTGCTGTGTAGATTTTTCTTATCTTTATAATCTAATGTTATGCAAACAGATAACCCCTCTCTTTCCTAATACTTATATCTTTTATTTCTTCTTCTTGTGTTACTGTTCTGACAACATTTAATTATCTGAACAAATGATGGATAAGAAGGGTCTTTGTCTTTGGCTGATTTCAGAAGTTTCTGTTGTCTTTGCTATACTAAACCTTAGACTTGTCCAACAGAGGCCCTTGTCGAGTCTACACTTGGATGTCAGTAAGAGTTGGTAGTGAGTGGGTGGCAGCCTGATGTGCCAAGAGTTGGCTCTGTGTGACTATACATTTCTCTCTGTGACTCATTTATTAGCAAAGGTTTCATTCTCTTCCCTGTATACAGAGGACTTTCACTATTGCCTCGTGTTTATTTCTTAATGTGAGGATAGCACCTCATGAGAAAGAGAGACATTCACACACACACACACACACACACACACAGAGAGAGAGAGAGAGAGAGTTTGTCATAAAGCTTTCCCAAGTGTTATTGTCCTGCTGTGTAGCCAATATTGCCATAATGTCTTGAGAATCTATCCAGTGTCCTCGCACATTACTTTGAGTCTTTGAAAGCCCCCATAGGGAGTGCAGTGGAGGATGGCCCAAGTGCTTGGGCCCTGCACCCCATGGGAGACCAGGAGAAGCACCTGGCTCCTGCCTTCGGATCAGCGCTGGCCGCTGGCCGCAGTGCGCCAGCCACGGTGACCATTGGAGGGTGAACCAACAGCAAAGGAAGACCTTTCTCTCTGTCTCTCTCTCTCTCACTGTCCACTCTGCCTGTCAAAAAAAAAAAAAGATAAAAAAAAGAAAAGAAAGTCCCCATAGGGACTAGATATACAGTCATGGCTAGCTTTGGGTAAATCAAGGGCTTGTTTTATTCTTACGTTGCAAAGTCCAGTGCTATTTGTGTGTTGAAGAGGTTCACAAAGTATTACTCAGCCTCCAATTCACAGAGCTACATCACCATGAATCTTTGTAACCATGCTGTTTTACTTTGTCTTTGGCTGATCATAAGGCTGATACCCTATTCTCAGGGATAATCCTCATAGCTACCTTTTATGTTTTTCTTTTTATACTTTATATTAATGGTGAAATTGTGGAGATACACAAAATTAAGTTCCTTATACAGCTTTAGGTTTTTAGTTTTATGATATTATATATGGACTCCTTAAAGTGATTTCTTGATTTCATCACTGATATTGATTTCTAAGTAGGAATATGGAAAAAATGTTCATGAATATCCATGAGGAAGAGGGTCAAAGTTGTAGATAGAAAATGTGGGCTATTATTACTGAGGACCGAAACTCAGGTTTTCTAACAAATACCAATAATTCTCCAATGTTTTCATTTTTCACCTAATATGCCAATGTGAATACATACTTTTCAGCAAAATATTTAAGTATATAACTTGAAGTTCTATTTATCTGTCTACTGTATATGTGCATGCGGTAGATGAATACTTTCTTTTTTTAAAAAGATTTTATTTATTTATTTGAGAGGTAGTTACAGACAGTGAGAAAGAGAGAGAGAGAGACAGACAGACAGAGAGAAAGGTCTTCCCGGTCTCACATGCAGGTTCAGGGACCCAAGCATTTGGGCCATCTTCTACTGCTTTCCTAGGCCACAGCAAAGAGCTGGATTGGAAGAGGAGCAGCCAGGACTCAAACAGGCACCCATATGGGATGCTGGTGCCTCAGGTGGAGGATTAATGAACTCAACTAAATGAGAGATACTTAAAAAAAAAAACACTCAATCCTTATTCTACACCTTGCTTCACCTTCAGCAAAAGTATTTTTTATTTATGTTTTATAACATACACATGTTTCTTGATTTATATCTCAATATATCTAGACAATGTTGAAAATATCATTTTAAAAATGAATTGAATTCACCTACTGTCCTAAATTCCCTTGCTGAGCAACACTATACACTGTATACTATTGTTTATTTACCCTTTTTAGCCATCACTAAATTAAGGACTGTCTTTATATTGTATAGCGTTATATTAATCAAGCCCACTGAGGTAAACTCAAGTAAACTGGGACAATTTCACTCTATTCAGGATTTATCCTCCTTACCCCATCCCCACTGCAATTTTCCTGATATTCTATTGAAGTTCTAAAGATTTCCACTGGCTTTATTCACTGGTGCATGCTTGGGCATGCTCTCATATAACTGGCATCTGCTCTTTGCGTCATCTAGTCTATGGCGCAGCCACCCACTCTGTGTTAGTATCTGCCACAATTTCAGGAATATTTGGTCTTTGGACAAATGATGTATCCTATCTTCTTGTTCCTCTTCTCTTTCTCCTAAATTCCATGTCCTTTTCTCAGGTGTGAGAAGAGAATTCAGCTGTTATTCCACAGATCTCTTATTTCTGTTATTTCACAGATCTCTCTCATTTCTTAACAAGCCCCGTAGCCGTTTCCACTCTACACTCCTTGATACTTGAATCTACCATCTTCCAAAATCCAGGTAGGAGTGCGGGCAAATACTCTGATTTCGAAACCCCATACATAGCCTACTTTCCCCCCATACTCTCTGCCAACTTGGGATCTATCTTTTGGGCATAGGATCTGTCTCAGGAGCTTTCACCAGCAGCAAATGGTCTTCCTGCTTCTGTTTTTTTTTTTTTTTTTTTTTTTTTTTCTGTTTCACACAGCCTGGAGAATCCTAACCTATTTGGTCAATGAAAAAACCCACTGGGAAACTGGAAAGAAATTCTTCAATTTCTATTTAAAATTTTTCTCTCTTGTCAACAGACTATGATTTTCAAAAGTAAAATGCTAGGAATTTGATGTTTGATTCCATGGGAATGACTCTAAATAAAGCGGTGTCCATTTCATGCCTATTAATCTAACTGGGGCATTGTGGCCATTTAGGGAGTGAAGGCATGGACAGAAGCTTCTTTCTCTCTCTCTCTCTCACTCTCTCACTCTCAACTCTGTCTTTCAAATGAATAAATTAAAAACATTAAGTTTGCTAATTAGTTGGCCTGGATATAGGGATAGAGTCCTGACTTACTTAGGTGGGCCTGATGTAGTCACCAAAGTTCTTATGGAAGGAGGGATAATAGAGACATGAAGATACCATGTAGCTTGCCTTGAGGTTGGAGGAAGAGGCCAGGAACCAAGAAATGCAGATATCCTTTAGAACCATGAATAATCAAGAAATGGGTTCTCTCGTAGAGTATCCATAAGGAAGATAGCCCTGTGGACACCTGATTCTTTTTTTTTTTTTTTTTTTTTGACAGGCAGAGTTAGACAGTGAGAGAGAGAGAGAGACAAAGAGAGAGGTCTTCCTTTTTCCGTTTGTTCACCCCCCAAATGGCTGCTATGTCCGGCGTATTGAGGCCAGCGCGCTGCGCCAATCCAAAGCCAGGAGCCAGGTGCTTCTCCTGGTCTCCCATGCAGGTGCAGGGCCCAAGGACCTCCACTGCACTCCCTGGCCACAGCAGAGAGCTGGACTCGAAGAGGAGCAACCGGGACAGAATCCGGCGCCCCGACTGGGACTAGAACCCGGGTTGCCAGCACCGCAGGCGGAGGATTAGCCTAGTGAGCCGCAGCGCCGTGCGACACCTTGATTCTAACCCATTGGAACCCATTTTGGACTTGTGACTCACAGAACTGTAAGATAATACATGATTGTGTTTTAAGCTGATGAATTTGTGGTAATTTGTTACAGCAATGACACAAAGCAGATATAATGGTTGTAACTATGCAGTCTCAAATAATTTTTGACCAATTAATTTAAAACTTGGCTAACCAACTGAGCAGACACCAGTGATTTTAATAAATCAAATGCTTATAGGTGAATTATGGTGGTTGAAATCTTATAGTGAATGACAGTTGAAATGACATCAACTTGTAGGTATATTTCTCCAAAGAGTAGAAGTACTTTGTTCCAGACATGGCACTACGCTTACTGTTTGTGGTTAAGTCATAGTAGAGGTTGAAGTGGTTCATTTGGATTACCAAATAACACAGTAAAAAAATAAGTAAACCTTTAGGAATACGGAGTATTGCAAAGACACATGGAAGAAAATCAGTAGTCAGGTGCAGGCATTTAGCTTAGAGGTCAAGACATCCACATTCCACATCAGAATGCCTCCATTCCATACCAGGCTCCAGTCCATGATGCCAAGCTCTGTTAATTCACACACTGGGAGGCTGTGGTGATGAATCAAATAATTGGGTTCCTGTCACCCAGTGGGGGGCCATGAATTAAATTCCTAGCACCTGGCTTCAGCCTTGCTGAGTCCTGGAGGTTCCAGGAGTTCACAGAGTGAACCAGAGGGTGGGAGCTCTCTCTCTCTCTCTTGCTCTCTCTCCCTCTCCTTCATGCCCTAATTTGATTTTCCACTAGTTATTGAAAAAGTCCAATTCCCAAATTTGTTAAGGATCAATTCCTGCTGGTATGAAGATGTAGTCACATTATACTCAAACCTTTCCATTTTTAAGATCACTTATACCTTTGTAATACCTGAGTCTGGAGAGGGAGGTAAGAAAGGAGGAGAGGGAGGAAGAAAGGAGGAAGAAATGGAGGTAGGATAGAGAGAGAAAATATTAACAGAATTGTGTGAATAGTACAGAATCTTTTGAATCAGTAAGGGGAAAACGGTAAATGCATATTTATTTGTTTAGTTAAAAACATGCCCACATGATCAGTTTACCTGTGTCAGGGTTGCTGCATTGTGACCTATGCTTTGGGAGTCTACCACTGCAATGTCTTCACAGCTTTTCTTTCTCCAAAAGTGTGTCTTTCCTTACTGGAAGACTCAGAGGATGATCTTTCATTGCCAACCACACACAGAAGGACTTTTGCCCCTCATTCAAAGGTGTCTAGAGTTCAGATTTTGGCATCCTTGGAGCTATGATCCCTCCTTTGGGGCTTTCAACATCTCAGTGTTGTGGCTGATTCTGGTGAGGAAAAAAACACACATGATTAAATACCAGTACACACCATTCACACAAGGGAAGAGGAAATACACAGGGAGGGAGGACACGGGCAAGACATTTGCTAGTTGGAAGTTGGACTGAAAGTGTCTCTGGAACCTCAAGAACTGTTTTGAGCCTTTTTTCTTCATAAAAAAATACTTGATTGTGAGAAAGTTGAATTTCCTTTTTAGAAAGAAGCCTCTATCTCTAACTGTAATTCAAAGTTCTTGAAGCAACTGACATCTAAATCAAATTGCATTGATTTTCTGTGATGTTCAGATATTTCACATGGATAGAATTATAAACCACAGGTTTGGGAGGCCATGCAGGGGACAGCTCCTGGGAGTAGCCACAGGAGTGTGATGGACTGGTGATAGCTGTGGTGTAGGATGATGATCAGAAGGCAACCTTGCAGGAGGAACTGGCTGATCATAGTTTGGCCTCCTCCCTGATCATATTGCCCCACTGAAATGGAGTGGCAATGCAGCCTGATGGCTGACGATGCAGCTTGATGATGTGTGTTACAAAGAACTTGAAGTTTTAGGCCGGCGCCATGGCTCACTTGGCTAATCCTTTGCCTGCGGCGCCGGCAACCTGGGTTCTAGTCCCGGTCGGGGTGCTGGATTCTGTCCCGGTTTGCCCCTCTTCCAGTCCAGCTCTCTGCTGTGGCCCGGGAGTGCAGTGGAGGATGGCCCAAGTGCTTGGGCCCTGCACCCGCATGGGAGACCAGGAGGAAGCACCTGGCTCCTGACTTTGGATTGGCGCAGCACGCTGGCCGCAGCACACCAGCCGTAGCAGCCATTTGGGGGGTGAACCAATGGAAGGAAGACCTTTCTCTCTGTCTCTCTCTCTCACTGTCTGACTCTGCCTGTCAAAAATAAAAACAAAAACAAAAAACAAATAACTTGAAGTTTTCAAGGTGATTTTCTAGGAACTGTGGTTCTCATGCAAGTCTCCTAAGCTCATAGCACTACAGCTGTCTGAAGCTGCCTCTATCTTGGTGACACAGAGCTCTGTTCTTAACTAGTATGAGTGGGAGTATAAATATATATTTTAAGAAAAGAATCACAAATTTATTACTTTACAATTCTGAAGGTCAGAAGCCCAAAATGGGTCTCACTGGGCTAAAATCAAGGTGTCAGCAGGGCCATCTCCCTTTCTGTAGTCCCGGGGGAGAATCCCTTTCCTTGCCTCATGTAGCTTTCAGAGCCTGCTCACATTCCTGGGCAATGTTCTACCATGTCCAAAGCCAGCAAGGATGGGTGGAGACCTCGCACATTGAATCCCTTTGACCTCCTCTTCTTAGTCAAATACCCCTCTGTCTCACTCTTCTTTCTTTTCTAGTTATTTTTGTTATTTCATTGGGTCTATCAAGAAACTGCAGGACAATATTTCTACATCAAAATCCTTGATCACATCTATAAAATCCTTTTTTCTAGGTAAAGTAACATATTCACAGATTCCAAGGATTACTACATGGTCATCTTGGGTATGGGGTGGTACTGAACACTTTTCTGCCCACTACAACATTGAAATGATATGATAATGTGCTTACTTGTTAGCAATTTATGTTTACAGATAACTTAGGAAAAAGAAAGCAAACAGAAAAACAATTAAAAGCTGATAATTCTACATGACTTTATGCATTTAATTCTCAACAATATATGTAAGGCAGTGCTATCATGTACAGGAAATTGATGGCTTTTGTTATTTTAGAACTTGCCCAAATAATAAAGCCAGATAGTAGCAGAATTATGATTCAAATTCAGATTATTAAAACTCTGGAATAGTTTCCAAGGCCACTCTGCTCTAGCATTGAAATACCAAATTGGTGTTCTTCCATTATTTCATAGCTGCTCATGTTCAGTATAATGGCTACATGAGTGTTTCCTTCTCTTTGATCTGTTGTCCATAAAAATAATAAGAATAAAATCTTTTGTACTGCCTAGTAGTTATGAAAGGTCCTTTTTTTTTTTTTTTTAAACTTTTATTTAATGCATATAATTTTCCAAAGTACGACTTATGGATTACAATGGCTTCCCCCCCCCCATAATGTCCCTCCCACCCACAACCCTCCCCTTTCCCACTCCCTCTCCCCTTCCATTCACATCATGATTCATTTTCGATTATCTTAATATACAGAAGATCAGCTTAGTATACATTAAGTATGGATTTCAACAGTTTGCTCCCACACAGAAACATAAAGTGAAAAATAATAGATGATTTTTTTAAATGATGATGAAATCAGAGCAGACCTATTGTCATGTTTAATCCCAGTGAGAGTCAAGTTGGGAATAAATAATTTCTTTTTTTTTTTTTCTTTTTTTTTTTTTTTTTT